ACCAACTGAGGTACAAGGAGCTACGGTAACGGGATTCCTGAATTACCTGGGGCTAGTCAGTATCAACGTTCACGATGATATCTCAAGGCCGTCGCTCTATTAAATAAAGAAGGAGAAAGGAGAAGAAGGGCACAAGGTTGAACCAAGGTCGTCTTCTTGCTCCTCTCGCCGTCATCAACTCTGACTGGACTGGTGTGGGCTGTATGGACTGGACTGCTAACCTACCGGCCAACAGACTAAACTCGGCCTGCCTAACTATCGGACTGGGACTTGTGGTACATGGGACTTTGAAGTTGAAACACTGGGATCGGGACTGGGATGACACCCTGATATGTGTGAAATGATGGCACTGAAATCCTTTCAGGAGTATCATATGAAGTGTGGTTGGGATGGGCATAGCAGTAGTGTCACTACTGTCTCGCACCCTCTCTCAACTGTTGCGCGCCCAAAAGATAGCTTTTGCTGCTTTTAGACTTTCATAGTAAGGGCGCAACGCACCTTCTCATTATGAATGTATAAAGGCTATCTTTTTGGCCCGCAACAGTTGTGATGAGGGTGTGTTATGTTCGGGGGAAGATAGTTGGCGCCCATGGGCATATAACAGTAGTACATCTTTGTTTCAGAGTGCAGCGCACCCTCATTATGAATGTATAAACTACTATAAGCCTAGTGTAAGGGCTATTTTCTTTTTGGCCCGCAACAGTTGTGATGATGGGGGTGCGTTATGTTCGGGGGAAGATAGTTGGCCCATGTGCATATAACAGTAGTACATTATTGTTTCTATCATTCTATGTATGATGTTCCAGAGACAGCCTCTTGTTTTCTTGTTTTTTTTTTTTTTTTTTGGATTGGACCACCAAGCCCTGTTTCCAGCTATTTTGTTCCCACATGGTGGTCAACCTGCCATGTTAACAGGGGCTTAGCCTACCGGACCAAAATGGCTGTGATGCCAGGTGAATTTTTTTTTTTTGCGCACTTTTGGCACGCGACAGCAATCCTGGATGGGAAAAGAGGCCTCAGAGGGACTGGTGGTTTAAACAGTCGGGGCTAATGGTCCTAGCCGCTCTCTATTCTGAGGAGCGTCGGCCCGGTTCTTTTCCATCTGCAAGTCACAGATATAACATTTCACTCCAGGAGATGGCAGCTGTCAATTTTTATGTTAAAAACAAGAAATAACTGCACTGTTTTTTTTTTTTTTTTTTTTTTTTTTTTTTCTGTGTTGTCGTTTACGTAAAGAAGGTATGGTTCAAAAAAAAACGAAAAAAAAAACAGGAAGAAGAAGCTATGGTGCAACCGTGCAATCATGCCATCTCCCTTCACAATGTGTGTGTGCACAGAGACTGCAAGACAGGCTTCGCGCAAGCCGCTACATCAGACCTCTATAAGGAACGAAGCTGCTTACTTTGGCTGTTGCAGGCAGGTATGTTGCTCCAGCTTCCTAAGACCCAATTGATAAATGTTCATTCGTGTTGTTATTCAAATTGAAACTTAAATGAAATCATTTATTATTTGAATGTTGTGCACTTCCGACCGCGGAACTCAAACTCTGTGTCTATTATCTGAGGAAGGGGAGAGGTAGATAACATCACAGAGTTCACACAACTAGGGTTCTTAACTCGTGCTGCTCGCACTCTAACCTCTCACGGCAGATGGCAGCTCGAAGACGATAGTCACGGCACACACATGAAGGATTTCTGCCACTTCGATCTCTTGCACCTTGTAGGCCATACGCAGTGAGCACCCACGGACTTCCATGCATGTTAAAGTCCTCGGTCCGTGTTTCATGATGGGCAGGGCAGAGGACTTTGACCATCATCCCAAACACACAGCACTAATGGTTAATGGGTGGTTCAATTTTCGGCGAATTTTTCACCGAAACTGCGATATTTCCCTGAATTTTTGCTTTTTTCTTTTTTCTTTTTGTGTGTGTGTGTGATATGTATGTGCTTGAGGGTATATCTGTATTCAGTTTCAACGTATTTGGACTAGTAACGAAAAAGTTGGCAAAAACACTGAATTCGGAGAAAAAATTGGTGAACTCGGAAAGCTATTCCGAATAGGGTTTTATAGTGCTTCCCCCCCCCCCCCCCCCCCCCCCCCCCCCCCCCCCCCCCCCCCCCCCCTCCCCCCCCCCCCCCCCCAGCGCTCCCCCCGGCCGCGGGGGGGGCGGGCGGGGGGGGAGCCCCCCCCGCGCGGGGGGGGGAAGGGGGGGGGGGGGGGTTCGGCCTTTTTCGATGCGGGGGGCCTTCTCCCACCATTCATCTGTGTATGGTTGTACGGGGCTGAAGCATCATCTATGTATGGCTTCAGACCCCCCATCTCACGATTGCTTGTGTGTTGAGTGATGTCTAGGTGAGTGCAGTCTATGTGAGTCAGTCCATTTCTCAGACTTCCGCTGCATATATGCTCATCCTACATTGGTTGATCTTTGGTTCTGCCCATACTTGGTGAAGAATTCACTAGTATGCAACAGTGTCTGTCCGTCATTGTAAATGTCTTATTCCTGAAAACGAGCAAAAGGAAAGTGGATCTTTTTTTGTCTACATGCAGAGTCTGAAATAATGAACATTCACGTAAACTAATGTCAGATCAAAGAGTACTAATAGTAACGACAATGTATCAAACGGTCCTAGATCAGTTGGTACACCCATGAAACTGTTGAAATATAGACTCAAGTTCGAATCCAGATACTACCGGATGAAAAGAACAAAATCATCTATACAAAGTCACAGACGATACAAACATAAAATAGAATCGTAACGAGTCTAACGACAATGTCAGAAGCCTGCAAAGATGAAAACCGTACTATAGAATGCAGAACTCTTCAGACCGAATGCGTCTTCCAAAACGATGGTCAGGATTATATAGTATATACCCAAGTCTATGTACTATGTACAAGCCTTGAGCATTCTTTTATCAAATGGCATCTGGAGTTGAGTTCCTAATCTGCTTACTAACAATTTGATATGCGTGTGGACTGTTCAGCCACATAGGCTAGGTGCTGCCAATGCTAGTTCTACTATTGCCCAAATCACTAAAACAGCAAGCTGAGTAAACCTCTCCTTCTTTTGTTAGGAGATAGGTGACTTTCTATTCGCCCGCAGAATTACGCGTGGTGTGAGGCCATTAGAATTAGCTCGTAGAATGACTAACATATGTTTTTTTTTTTTTTTTTACTTTTCTAAGTGTTCTCATTGTTGATGGTGGACACTGGACACACAGGTGCGGAACCATTATTGCGAGGCGTTATACCGAGCTGGGATTTACTGCAAGAGATACATGGACATGCAGCTAGGACCATCGCTGAGACTCCAGTAAATGCCAATCCTCCCTCCTTTTCATCAGTAACTATACACTGCCACTGCCATTGCTTGAGAAGTTGAGACATAGAACCCCTCTCCTGCCTGACTGCTCAATTGAATCAATTCCCCTTTGGTAACTATGCTCTATCATTTTCATTGTTTGTGGTCTGTCATTTTCATTGTTTGAGATCGGAAATTTGGAATTCTTGCCTTGAACCACTCAATACAACCGGGTCTGCCGACGCCGCACTGTGTGCCAAGCTTTGCCGAACTGCAAGCGGTGCATTCGTTTTCCTTTTTCCCCTGGTGCCGCCAGCCATTGTGGTCCGGTAGCCCCGAGCCTCCGAAATTTTCGGAGTAGGCGACGAACACATCTCTGCAAGGCGGGGTGGTGTGCTGGTGGTTTTCAAGTTTAAACTTTAAAGTTTAAACCACCAGGACCACCCGGGCCTGGCGGCGCTGCACTGCGTACCAAGTTTTGCCGAACCACCAGCCGCACTCTTCTTTTTGTTTTTCGCTGGCTTCGCCAGCCATTGTGGTCCGGTAGCCCCGAGCCTCCACAATTTTAGGTGCACGCTACGAAGAAAGAAATCTCGCGAGGCTGGGGCCGTGTACTGGTGGTGTAAGACTGCCCCTCTAGATCATCTGTGTCTGTTGCTTGACGACTGTTCATGAACATTATTGGATGGGTCTCTCTGGCTGAACTCTTCTCCTGGTGTGAAGTTTTGTCATTATGTCTGTGCTGTCAAGTTTCACCTGCTTTCACAGTTTAGGCCCTTTAGGGTTTAGGGTTTAGGTTGATTTTTCTGGAGTTAGATCGCCTGTTCTGCTCTCACTTCGTTCGTGTCAGTTAAGTCCTTGTTTTCGTTTTGAAGTATTGCATCATGCTATTGCGTGGAACATCAGCTTCGGTCAAATATGGTTCGGACAAGTCTCCCCCTGGGACATCCTTGGTCCAGACTTTGGTACCACATGTGGGACTTCAGTTCTGACAAGCTTCCCCGTTGGCAGTTCTTACGGTACTTCTTCCTGTGCGTCCATCTGTAAGTCTATGACTCGTCCATTTGTTCCTTTGTCTATCCATCCATCAATCTGTCCGTTTGCCTGTCGACCGTCCACCCACCCAAGAACAGTTACCTCTACCTGGCTCATGTGGCTGAATGGTATGTGCGTATAAATGCTGACAAACAGATCCAGAGTTCGAATCGTGTTTAGTACAATGAGGTTAGGGGCTACCCTGCTTAGAGAAACAACGGTTCCTTTTAATCCTTTCCCATTGGCGAGTCACAATGAAGATTCTACGCAACTTGTCATGTCTCTTCCCACTGCAACTGTGAATTCTGACAGGACTCCTTGGGAGTGATTTCGTACCCTCCCATCCCACATTTTTT